TAGCATTGAATAAATTGCTGTCAACATAGTTTCTCTATTAAATAGATCAGTCACAGGCCCTGCAGACATTTACGACTTTTCAATTGAATAGTAATTTTAAATGCAAGATTGAAACACTTTTGAAAATTCTTTTAGGTCTGTAACAGCATGATCTAATTGCTTCGAACAACGATCCATATTGTACTATCTTTTAAATGAATCTATAAAAAAATGTAGAATCACATTAAGTTAATGATCCTGATTGCTTATCTGTTGCTTCAACAATTTAATCATATCCACATAATATAATAGTTGAGACATTAACAATTCGTCTTCCTTATCAAAGCTTTCACTAATTTTTTTTTTCTCAATTATTTATAAAGACACAGATGCTTCTTATTTATTCAGAATTGTATTGGTCTGAATTTCTAGTTATTGTATAGTTAAATCTGTGTTTAAAATAAGTTGCTTGATAGATGATTCTGAACTCTGCTTAATTGATAAATTTGGATTACTAGAATAACTTTAACTCTTTCGCGAATTTTTTAGAAACTAGCCTAAGAATAATTCTTATTTCTTACTCTTGTACTATTGATTGGCTGATTAAAATTAGATTATATACCCTTCAATTGGTTAGGATTTTAATCCACCATAAACTTGTGATAAAAAATATTTTGCCCATTTGCACCGATCTTTTATTGATTCGCATTCCCTTTGTAGTTGTTTTTTCCAATCAATGCTCTATTAGATGATAGTTTATATTACAGCAAATTCATTATCGTTCGATTAACAGGACACACAGGCAAAATTTATTGGTGAAGAATGTTGAGTTCCCATTCGGAAATATTAAATAATAATCAGTATTTATTGATATGAAAATAATTATAAATATTTTCTTTTCATTCAAAAATTCGTATCTAAAATTAGAGATATTATTTGTAAAATAATGATATTCTGTTGAAATCTTAGAAATATTAAAAATAAAAAAATACTTAAAACTCTTTCCAAAAACAGCTTCAAATCTAGGAAACCTGCCTTGTTTAATCTCCATTTTAAATTTATTGATTTGCGAATAGAAATTATCCGAATAGAAAATGTTATGAAAACTGAATATAATTGCTGAATATTTATATTTACCCTAATTGATTTCAATTTGCAGTAGCTCTACCCTGATCTATTTCTCGTTTTCCAAAGCTTCATCTCTTTGTTCTTCATTCTTCATCCTTCATGATTTATTATTATATTTTCTAATTATTTTAGTTCTTCAAAGACCTAAAGCACTTTATATTCAAATTATTAAATATTCATTAATAATTCCTATTTCTTAAATGATATTTTCCTTTTTGAATGTCTCTATTGCTTAGTAAATCCATAGATTTTAATAGTATCTCTAATGATTCCATTAAAATGAATCCAGAATTGATGAGGCTCGCTTTCTATTAATCAAAATGTTCAATTAAGAGAACAAATAATGTTTTAGATCAATCAATTCAAAAAAAAGAAAGGAGTTTAAGTATGACTTTTGATTGAATTTGAAAATATCTGATTATTTGAGATTAAATTATCTTCTCAGAGTACTTTAAAATAATAAACAATCAAATCAGTATCTTGTGTAATCATATTATTTTCAATTCTAACAACTAGTTAAGAGATTGAATAACAATATCGTATTTATAACTAAGTATTAAAATTTTGTTGACACATTTAAAACAGTAATGATATTAGACTGAAAAGAGAGCCTGAAAAAATAATAAGTAACAAATGAAGTAAATTAGGTTTAGCCCTTAAAGTTATCTTCATTTTGATATAAGAATGTTGTAAATTGGAGTAGATTGTGATGGATAAATGAATCCTGTGTTAGTTAAGCTCAAGTAACTTCCATTGAATTGTAAAAAAGGAAAGGAGAGTTGCTGCTAGATATGTATTAATTTGACTTCTCTAATCAAAAACTGTAAATATCGAATTTCATATTCTACAAAAGGATTACAAAGGTTTTATTTATATTATTAAATTAATATGGAAAATTTATTTTGCTAAGTTCATCCTGATATTCCATTTTTCGATCTGAAAAAATACCATTAGACTAAATTAATAGCATCTTCGAATAATAGAGTGTACCTTTATAAATTTTTGAATCAAGCTGTTGCTGTTAAAGAGGTTATATTACAATAATTGTGTATTAATTAATATTATTTAGAGAAAATGAACAAATAGAAAAACTAAAAAAACAATATCAAATATAGAAAGGATATAGCGAAACCATCATATAAATCTACGGAATGGCTATGCAACAATAATAAAGATTTTCAGGGAAATTTTAAACAAGTATAAATATTAATGAATAAATAGTTGTATTCATTTGCATGGAATATATGCAATATTGCTTATAAGATCATATTGAATTGATTAGAATGGAATAGTTACCAATCAATAAAAATTCTCTTGCAAGTTTATTAAAATCTACAGTTTAAACTCATGCTTATTTATAATCTATTCATTTGTGTCACGGAGATATAAAGCCATAAAATATCCTGATCAATGATAGAATTAATCCAACCCAATTTAAAACTTGTGATTTTGATAATATGATTTAGCTTGTTCATTCTAAATTATAGCCTTGCATATTTTCGACGAAATAATACCATGCACCAGAAATCTAATAAGCCATAAAAGAGGGTTTGGAGTCATTTAATTATAATCCATACAAAGCATAAGTTTATAGCTTGGGTTTATGTTTGATTTAAATGCATCCTTAAATAGATTTTCTTAAAATTAATCATATCACTTTTATGCTAATTGAATAAGTTTATGGTTCTTAAATTTAGATTTTGATTTCAAAAATGCTAGATCCAATAAATTATAACAGACCTGACTTTTTTGAAGCTTTGTCATATTTGAACAAGAATTCTATAGCGAACATATCAACAGAATAATTAGAATATTAAGGAAATGAAATATTAAAAAGTTAGAATTCATATTTTCGAAACACTCCAGATATGTTTGATACTTTAAGAAGAGAATCAAAATATCCGAACTAATTATATGATAGTGTTGATACAACGTCTGATTTTCTAATATTGGGTTAAGTGAATTTGTCAAATGAGGAAGAAACTACTTTTTCTGATGATCATATAACATCCAAAGTTGGAACAAGTAATTAAAATATCTAAATTAGGAAGTACTTAGAAATACTTTTGCAATTCCAAATATATAACCAAAACCAATATTATGATTTTTTGTTCAATTTTACTTTTACTAGTATTGTTTATCCTTTTATTAATGTATCTAATGTGATATATTTTAGTTTATGTTTATTAAAAAATTATCAAATTTTCACAGAAAGAAATTTTTGGTTTTATCAAGTTAATGTGAGCAATATTCCATAAAATGATTTTGGTTTCATAATCAACTTATTGTAATTATTATAATTTTTTGGTATGCTGATTTTATATTTAAAAGTTAAAAATAAAATAAAATTTTGAATCAAAGGGTTTTTTTTTTAACAAAATAAGTTAGAATTTTATGTTCAATTTGCCAACCCTAGAAGCTGCTAATGTAAATTTAAAACATGTTGCAAATCAAAGTGATTCTATTTATTAATCTCGACTTCTTGCATTATTAAAAAACACTATTATATTAAATTAATTTTATATCATAGTAAACTAGATCTAATAGTTCTTTCAGCCCATAGAAATATATGGCCTCTCTACTTTCATGAAATTCCTTAATTAACTTATGGAATCGAGAATAAAAACAATAAACAAATTGCACCAAGCATTTAAATCTAAATTATTTTACTAGTCTTAAATTTATTTAATCCTTTAGAAATCAAGGACCCTTGAGAGATGCAATGATCAAAATAATGCTTTTTTGTGAGAGTTGTTTTTATAAACAATTAGGAAAATAATAATTATAAGATTTTCAAATTTCTTCTTCGAATAACAAATATAGAAGTTAGAATTGATTAATTATAATTCTGTTACCCTTCTACATGTCTATTAATGTAAATAGGGGAGCTAAAGTTGTGATTTCATTTACCTTTTCAATATTGATTCTTTATAAAATGATGCTTACTTTAATCAAATAAAAATTTTTCATACAATAATTCTTATTGATATGTATCAATTTAAAGAAATAGAATTCTATTATTTATAAACATTTTAAGAATTATTTTTTTCTAGTTACAATTCTGCAGTCTGCTAAATTACAAAAGAAAGATAGACATTTCAATACTTCTACAGGAGGGAGTCTCAAAATAGATGCTAGAGCTATTATTATAAAGTTGCCTGATAAAATCATAAGTAAATGCAAATGGATAATTTGAGTATCATTGTAAAAAGTATAAATTCATAATTTCTACAATAATAAAAGTCAAGGCATCTAAATTAGTTATGATAATTTGTTAAAGTTGATGTAGAATTTATTTTTATCTCATATTGACATTTTTAAGGTTACATTTTAGAATGAATTTATTTAACGATACTAATTAAATCAATGCTTAGTTTTAGATTTGATAAATCAAAAATATTTAGGTGTAATAGCTGAAAAAAATTTTTGCAATCAATAAATAATTCTCTATCCTCTATAATGGCCACTACTAAAATCTATAATTTTGAATTGGTTTCAAAATTAATTGTAAATCAAATTTTTACTTATTTTGCCGATTTCTCTGCATTATATCAATGATTGCAATTAAACCCCATTGTTCCAATTTATCCAATTTTAATGATATTGATTAATGAAATATATCTATTCCACTTACCTGATCGCTAAAAGCGGTGCCTGTTATGCTTGTCGCTAATGAGTATACCTAGAATGAATATTATGGCAAAAAGTAATTAGTTGAAATAACAATTTGCTAAAGCGAGCATAATCTCATACAATTATTTTAATAGGAATTCAAATATCAACATTTAGTAATTTAGAATTTATTGATAACTTTCAATTTAAAAAGCAAAATGGTGATACATATAGCCAATAGTAATATAAACTGACATCACACATATATCAAACGACAATATTGTAATTTAATTATTCCTACGTTGTAAGTTAAATTTCAAAATATCTTTTATAGGTTTGCATGGATATTCTAATATACATCAGCTGCAAACTTACAAATATTTCATAATTGGGAAATGAAATGGATCCTTTGAGAAAATAATCTGTCTTAAATAACTTATTGAAAAATAATTGTTACAGTTAAGTTACTGAATGAGAATTTATACAATAAATTAAAGTATTTAATTTTTGCAAAATTATCTTAATATTAATTTTAATCAACATTAGAGCATTTTATAAAATTGGTTATATCAATAAATTTCATTTCTTTTGGAAGCAGCCAAATCATCTTCTATTTCTAATTAAATTACCTTTACGATCTTTATTTCTTTTTTTGAGTGTAATTTTTGATGATTTTTCATTTTTTAATTTCAAATCATATATTTCTAGGATACTTATACAAAACCCCAAAAGTAATGCTATAATCTGAATTGTAAGAAAAATAACATTCAAAAGTTGAATACATTTATCAGATTGCTGATGTTACAACAGAAGGTTAGTATTATCAAAAGTTTAGGTTTTAGTTTTCAATCGAAATGTATATAACCATCACCATATGGAATTACATTTAGATGATGAACGAATTTTATAATAAATGAGTTTAACATGAGGTCTTTTGAATACTAAACATATTTCAGGAGAACATATAATATCGAAAATGCATTTATTGCTTTGTTAAACATAATGTCTTTGTATTTAGCTAAAGTAACATTTAGATTAATGAAGTATCAAAGTCAATATCTCTTTAATAATAACTAAACAAAATAAACATTATCAAAAGTAACTAAATTTTGGGTTATTTAGCGAGTTTAGGTAGCAAGAGATTTCATTTATATAATTGATTGGATTCAAACAACAGAAATTTATAAAAATCCTAATTTTGCTATTTTAGCTATCTTTTAGATTATTACTCCTATATTCTGGTTTGCTCATTTTAAGTATTAGTTTATTGTTGATTTTTCATAAATCTAACTATACTAGCATATCTTGGCACTGAAGTGTAAAACTATGAGTATTAAAACAATCAAAGAAAGACTAGCTGATTTTAGATACTTTGAAGTAGAAATTTTGGAAACGAATTAAGTATTAAACATTTCGGCACAAACAATTTAGTAATTGACAAAAGTTACCCTTAGATAATTAATTAAAAGGTCTATGCTAAATAATTTGCATATAAGTAAATTTAAACTATTTCAATAAGTGCAATGGATGCTTACCATAATAATGGCACTAATTTATTATGGTTTTATCAATACAATTAATTCTTTAGTCAAATTTTAGTCAGTAATTAAGGCTGTATTTATTGTTATTTCTAACCCATAATAATATTATGAAATTTGACTGTTAAATTTATTAAATTGCATATACTCAAGAGAAGATTTAAGTAAAACTGATTGAAATCAAACAACTTAATATATGCTCATAAGTTTATTACAATATCAATAAACCTTAATTACAAATTTAAATTCATTTTAATTTTTTAAGTGTTAATAAGAAAGATACTAAACAATAAAGAACTTATAACAAAAATTAATTATGTTTGAAATGAATTCTATTTTTTATGTGATTTAATATTACTACAAATATCCTGAAGATATTTCATCATATCAAATCAATTTTTGATAGTAATAAAATGTGAACACTTTCGATTTTAAATTATTTCATTTGAAAATTTTATTGGGGCTGGGGTAATCTATTATTCATAACTTTAATGTAAGTTTGCCAATTGTTTATATCAGGTAAAAGTTCACATAGCTTTCCACTTTTAGTAATATTTAATATCCTGAGAACTAGTTCTGCATTTACGGTAGAATTAAGGAAGGTACATGGAGCATAAGATTGCAATGCAATCCTTTTTATTTTGATATTCATTGCAAGTGTATAAAGATAGGTAATCATCAATAGTGATACATAATAAATCAATTTTATCTAATTTACAATAAAATGTAGGTGATTGTTCCAAACAAACATTTGAGTTAATTACTTTAGTTTTGCAAATAGTCAATTTAAAAGCTTAGAGAATAAAAATATTACCTGAAGACAAATGCTTATATTTTATCTCGTTCAATTGCCTAACATCCATATTTATTCATTACTTTAATTCCATCCCCACAGTAAATTTAGAGTTGTTCTAAGATTAATCTAGGTATTTTCATAGATAATGTTAGAAATTCAAATTTAGAATTATCCATACACACAAACACATCCCAACAACATTATTATGTAGGAGACCAATCAATCATCCAACATGACCGTTCATCGATGAGCATTTTTATTGTTTGAATTTATAGAAATCTTTCACTGCTTGTACCACACTTATGTTAACTATTTCATCAGTTAGATTGACACATTTATTAATTTCTTTAGAGAAACAATCATAGCCGGTTGTAAATCTTCTTCAAACATGAGCATTGATTCCTAATAACTTTGTACAACATTTAATAATACAAGGTGTTTACAAAAACTTTATGCAACTGCTTTTTCCATCAAATAAACAGTTTCATCTTAGTGAATCCACTTCTTTTGCTAATACTGTTGATTCTTTATTAGGGATTCCTTATTTTAAATACTTAATGAACCTTTTTCATCCTCTATTTAAAATTTTCTACAGATAATAAAAACAATCCCATATTTCCTAAATGTTATTTGTAAAATTCCTAAATATTTTTCAAAACATCTCTATCCTTTAGTCTGCATAGCAGCATAAGTATCCTTATTAAGTCCTAGTGCACATCATGTAAACTTCAAAAGTTGTTAATCTTATGCATTCAAATGTAGAACTTCTAAGTTAATTTCAAACAATTAAAATTTTAGATTTAATTTAATTGTCACTTCTAATAAAATCTACATTTAATACTAACTTGCATTAACGACTAATAAAAATGTCCATTTAAAAAATCTTAATTAAAACCTATCACATAATCTTTAAAATACAATAAATAAATTTTGATCTAAGCACAACTTGTGCCTAAAAGACTATCAATTAGGCTGCTTTTGTAAAGCAAAATAATTATTCAAAAATCAAAAGGACAGTTATTATTGGTCTGCGGATGAAATTTGGGCATATATCTTTAGTCCTAAATTGATATGCTCCAAAGCTCTAGGTAAGGAAAAAAAAATTATCCAGGTTCTAATACGATTGTAATTTATAAATAGGGTGCAATATTTCTAATCTTATAATATTGTTAGTCATAAAATAGTTTAAGCTGACGTATGTTAATTCAACAACATATCATACTTTTCTTTTTTAAGTGAGCTCACTCACGCGATGTTAAAATCATTCA